ATGGATGGATGGATGGATGGATGGATGGATGGACGGACGGACGGACGGACGGACGGACAGACAGACAGACGTGGAATTCAACCTGTGTAACAACCGGTTCGCTTCGCGTGCGCGTTGCAAGCGCACATTATATTTGAAATCAGCACTAAATCTTACCTTTTCTTCCAGTCCCGGTGAGTAAGACAGCTGAGACATGGCAATCTGCTCTGTCACGCTGATCAGCTATGCTTCAAACAAAGGAAATATAGGATGGAATAGAGCAGGGGAAAGTGGCCAGAGCCAACTGATAGCCACAACTACTGATTCACTCGAACCGGTCCAAACCAGCTGAATCCCATCCCTGGATAGATACCTTATTTAGAGACATGACTATTTAGATAAGAGGTGCAGTCAGAATAGAATAAAACACATAATAAAATGGATGCAAACTTCTACAGAAACAGCCCAACACATCAATGGGAAGAAATATGAAACAAAACATACCAATTAGCTCATCAGCCTTCATGACAGTACACTTGCTGTTCAAGGTAAAACATGAATTTCCCCCTCCCCATTTTTCTCTCTCCTTCTGAACTACACCAGCACAACCACAGCCATTGTCTCACATGCTCATGACTGCAAGGACAAACCTTGCCCATCCTTGACAGAGAGATACAATACCAACAATATCTGATTAGGAACTTGGAATATGGACAGCATGCTCCATATGAGAGAATAGCTAAAACAGCAGCAAAGCATCCACAGGAAAAGCTTAACCAAATTTAAGAAAAAATGGCTTCCATACATATAACATGTCACACAGCAAGGCAAGACACCCTCAGAACAAATAAGTACAAATAACATCCATGACAATTAAACAACTAATACTGAAGCCAAGTAATGGGATACTTAATACATTCTGAATCCAGGTCTGGGTACATAGCTAAGTTTTTAAAGCTTTATCAGTAGCCAACAAGGTTTTATCCTGTCACCCACACACTTCTCAATACATCCAAGTAACTTTTATGTTTTTTCCACCATGTGCAATTCTTCCTTCTCTGTTGCAAAGAAGGAAAATATGTTCTTTTGCAACCCTTTGTTATGCATTTCACAAATGCTTATTCCCTATAACAGGCCACATACTTCTTAGTATCTTTCTATCAACAAATGCACATTTTAAAATTTCTTTACCCATTTTTTTCATTTCTGGTGGATATTGTAAGAAAGTGTGTGAATTCATAGTATCTACTCTACTTTTTGTCTATTCCTATGAAACATAGTTGTTTTGTAGATATCATGCATCCCTTATTAATGTCTTCTGAAAGTCTAATCTCTCACTAAGCATTGCATTTATTTTCATGTATTCGGTTCTTCTTTCTTAGACCTCCTCTTATGTTGAAAGGGTGGAGTTGTAACCAAACTTCAACTATGCACTCCCATAGTACATTTGACAATTCAGCTTGAATTACTTTATCATATGCTTTCTCAAAATCAATACAAACGTGCAATAATTTTTATCACACTACATTCATTTCTCAGTGAATATCAATTTACACCTTTTGACATGTATGCTTTCATTTAGAATTAAACTGAAAGCTTCCGCTCCGTGAATTTATCAATTATACCCTACAAAATTAGATTACTTTCATTCAATTCTACTACACATTTGGCATTTTTGTTATTTTCACATCACAACACATATCTATACTTTATTCATTTCACTTGTTTACTGATGCTAACCAACCTTTTATTTTTCTTGCATTCTAAGTCACAAAATTCCATACATCATGATCATCACCAGGATTCCCATAAATATTAACCTTTAACATCATGACTTTAATCAATGAAGACTTTCACATAAGGCTTTTATTATGGTAATTAAAACATATTACAGTTTTAGCTCTTTATTTACCTATAAATACTTGGGATGCATATAATAATAAATAAAACTTCCGTGAAAACTATGAAACTAACATAAAGGAAATTGCCTGGCATTTATACACAGCTTGTAACACAATACTTACAATAGGTTATGAAGAGTAATTCTATAATATTTCATTTCACACAACAAAACTGATCCACTGAGTGATTGATAGTTGCATTTAATTTCCAGTATTTCAGGAAGATTACATCGATCCTCTTCTCTCTCCCAAAATCTAAAGATGAAATTATAATAAATTGGGCTCACACTATTACTATAGCACAGCAACCATGCTCTGTTGATTCCATAATTCATTATAGTAAGAAACAAAATGCATGCAATAATATGCATAACCCTGATGTCCTCACTTACAGCCATCTTTCTGTTTCACAAACATTATTTGCTGACAGTTAATTATTTTTCCCAATGAAAATCATCTCAATTTTTGTTGTTCACTCCCATGAGTATAATCTGGGGTAAGCTGTGGTTCAAAATACACAGTGAGGGTGGAGATTTGTTCTCCAAGTTTTGGGGGTTGGTTCCCAAATGTTTTATTACCAGGCTAGGTAACATCTATAGCAGAATTTAGGGAATGTCAGTGTCAGTGTTCTTTTGCTTATAAGGGCTTTCTGCTGTCAGTAGGTCTTGTGATGGGAGCTTCATGTCAGGTGAGGGTCATATCATGTCAGGATCTTGTGATGGGTCTTGTAATGGGTCAGGTGTGGGTCATATCAGGTGAAGGTCTTGTAATAGATTTTGTGTTGGAGAGGTCATGTCAGGTGAGGCAGTGGTGGGCTGCTGCTGGTTCAGACTGGGTTGCTATGCTGTCCTATGTAGCCTTGTTTTTAATGCCACACGCTTGCACACAAGGCATGCACACAAGCAAAGTGCATGTGTGGAAGGCTGTGCATATGCGCGGGTGATGCGATCATGCCCGCGTACATGCACACAACCAGAGAACCAGCTGTTAAGGTAAGTGCATCCCACCTCTGAGGTGAGGGTCATTGGGAGGTGAAGAGCTAATTAGAGGAGTTGTGTGGGTTGGTTGAGGGTCAATGCCATCACTGGTTGGCTGTGCTGCTGAATTCTGAGGAGTTCGTAGATTGGTTGTCGGTCAATATGTCTGTTAATGCAATTGCTTGTGGAATGCCAGGCTTTAATAAACTCATGAGCATGGGGGGTGGTAGCATGACCAATGATTCTTCTATTGCTCCAATCAAATTAGTGTTGTTCTGTGTCAATATGGGTAGAAATGAGGGATTTGGGATTGTGACATTTGACTGGCAGCTGGTGTTGATGGATTCTGGTTTTCAATTGATGTGATGTTTGTCCCATGTAGAATTGGTTGCAATTGTTGCAGTTGATTTTGTAAATTACGTAGCTGTGGGTTTGTGGGATATTGCTCTTACTAGAGGTCAGAGAATTCTGGCTGTCAATTCTGATCCTCTATTGTGTATGGTACTATGGAAGGGTTAGGCTTTGCCTTGTGGTTGGCTGTGGTGTTTGTTGTGGTTTTGGGTGCTGTGTGTTGGAATACAAAGTTTTTCGGACAGCTGTGTGGAGAAAGACATCAAACAGCCATTTATCTTCTGCTACTTGACATCTGTCTCTGCAATAACTCCATCAGGAATTAGAAAGGACCGTCACCTGATGGGACCTCCCCATCATAAGACCTACTGACCACATGAAGCAGAACACCGATAGTGACATCTCTTAAATTCTGCTAAAGATGTTACCAAGCCTGGTAACAAAACATCCAAAAGCCAACCCACAAGCTCAGGGAACAAACCCTCACCCTCATTCTACACTGAGCTACAGATATTCACCACTATCACAAAATACATATCCCTATGATGATGTTTTGCTTTGTCTGTTGATAATTACAATAGATGTGTTATATATGAGCCCTAGGATAAGATCAACTTATGATTCAGTCTTTCAACTGTAGTCTGGCCTCAAGTAGATTTTAGGAGATATTAGGAGATCCTTTGTCTCATCATAAATGTTCCACAAGCATTATCTTGGTCAGTTTTTCTCAACCTTGGCAAATGTAAGATGTGTGGACTTCAACTCCTAGAATTCCCCAGGGGGAAATTCTGGAAGTTGAAGTCCACATATCTCAAACTTGCTGAGAAGTACCAATCTAGGTCATTTCAAATCCTACAATCCAAACTCAATAACACATCTCATCCAAGAGATTGCAGGAAAGCAAGAATATTGTCTTCTCGGCTCCACATTCCTTTGTCTTAACCCATCTTCTTAATATTCGCTTTCATCCATATCTTCTTAACCTAAGAATCCCCTTCTGTTGAGGAGGAAGAAAGCATGAATCAATGCAATTGTGGTATGTTTGCTCTAGTTGAGCCACAGGAGCTCTTTCTCCTACCTGGCTCCATGAAATCAACGTGGCACGACAAAACCACGCTCGTCAAAATAGCGGTGATAAAATCGCGTCGCTAAAGCCGCAACGTCATCACCGCCACGACAACAGCGCGGCGACAGAAAGCCGCTTTAAAACAGNTATGCTGACTCTGTAAACCGCTTAGAGAGGGCTGAAAGCCCTATGAAGCAGTATATAAGTCTAACTGCTAACTGCTAATTCCATGAAATGCCCAATTTCACACATTGATGATTACACACCTACATATATAATTATATACACAAACATGCATAGGTCCAATTTATCTTCTAATGTGAAATTCAGTCACGATTTGGAAATAATGCTGGGGATGGGGAAGAAACTTGATTAGTTCCTAAGATTTTTCTTCTTGACTTTTTTTCTCTAATGCTTCTTTCTAGAGAGTGGCTGAAGTTTCAGATCCTTGGTGGTATTCCATGCTTATCCTTCCTCCCCTGTTGAAAGACAGTGTGGCTGCTCCACTACTGTCTGCGTACTACCCGGACTGTGTGGGCATGAGTCCCTCTTGTACTAGTACTCACCGATCGGTCAGTGAATCTAGTCCGATGAAAATGGAGAACTTAAAGACTCCACCTTCCATAACTGGTAAGCCAGGATTTCTTCTCTGTCCTCCCTTAAACACTCTGTATTTAGAACTGAATTATGACTGGGAGTAGGCGTTATCAGTTGTCGGTTCAAGCAGATTTATTCTCCCAGTGATCAGTCAACACTGCCATTTGTGTGTTTTCCATTCCACTTGATCTTGGTTTTTTGTGTGGCTATAGTCAGGGGTGGGCTTCAAAATTTTTAGCAAGGGGTTCTCTGCCCGGTTGCTGGGTGGGCATGGCCATGGTGGGGATAGCCTAGTTGGCCTCCTGCACCGTGGCAGGGGATGTGTTTTTGCCATCCCTAGGCTCCAGAGGTTTTCCTCGAGCCTCTGGGAGGGTGAATATGGCCTCCACAGGCTCTGGAGGCCAGAAATGGCCCTGTTTCCACCCTTCCCGAACTTCTGGTAGGCCAGTTTTTTTGCCCTTCCCGAGCTTCTGCGCGTGCCCTGCACTTACTTTGTAATTTTGTAACTTTAATAAAATTTGTATGCAGCCCACTCCCTAGGAACTCTGGGCGGCTCACAACAAAGCAAAGACATGGAATATTAAAAATACAATTGTTTAAAACAAAATCACCATTCAGTCACGTGGGGCTGGAATATTACTCAGCAGCCCCAGGTCTGCCGGAACAGCCAGGTCTTGGTCGCTTTACGGAAGGCTGGGAGAGTGGTAAGGGTCTGGATCTCCGCGGGTAGCTCATTCCATAAGGCCAGCGCAGCTACAGAGAAGGCCCTCCCTCGGGGGGGGGCGCCAGCCAGCATTGTCCAGTCGGCAGCACCCAGAGGAGGCCCAACCTGTGTGATCTTATTGGTCATTGGGAGGTAAATAGCAGGAAGCGGTCTCTCAGGTAGCCAGGTCCAGTACTATGTAGGGCTTTAAAAGTAACGACTAGCACCTTGAAGCGGGTCTGGAGACCAATGGGGAGCCAATGCAGCTTGCGGAGGATAGGTGTAACATGGGTGTATCTGGGTACACCCATTATCGATCGCGCGGCTGCATTCTGGACCAACTGCAGTCTTCAAACACTCTTCAGGGGCAGCCCCATGTAGAGTGCGT